TTCGAATTCTCTGCACAATATTTACACCACACATTCCCCTTAGATTAGATAGGACATCTCCACTGCCTCCAACCACCTCCTCGCTGCAGCACTTACAACCCAAGCTTCACACCCTCCATTGCCTTCCATTGATAACGTTTCTTGTTTCCACAAATACCTCAACGCACCTCTCACATTTTTTCCTTCATCAATTCTATGATTAACCTCATCCTTCATAAACCCATCACCTGAAACGTCAACTCCCAAAAATAAATAAATTATATGTATATGCAATAAGATAAGAGTAAACATTTGATATCAGAATACGCAAGACAACCACTGTGAAAGAAGACCGAAATTCCAAGCGCTTTCGTGGTTTCCACAATTATCAAGGAACTATTTGTAAGGACATTAGATCTAACAAAAATGATCCAAATGGAATAAACAATAAATTAAAACAACTCATTGGTGATAAGAGAGGTATATATATAGGCGTATCCAAAGAGGGAAAGTGCAGTTAAGAAATTATATATTCAATTAAAGAGAGAAATAAAAAAAAGAATATTAAAAACAAAAAAGGGATTATGAGGCTAAGGTCGCAAGGGATTCGAAGACTAACTCAAAAGGGTTCTTTCAGGTATACAGAAGTAAGATTAGGGACAAGATAGGCCTACTTAAGAGTAACTCTGGTGAGATCACTGACAGTGATAAGGAAATGTGTGAACTTTTCAGTACCTACTTCCTCTCAGTTTTGCTCAATAAGATACTAGCGAAATGCCAGAAATAATAAATTATGTAGAACAGGACGATAGTAAACTATGCACGATTAGGGTAACTAGTGACATGGTCCTCAGACAAATAGAGAAATTAAAACCTAACAAATCCCCAGGTCCTGATGAACTGTTTGCAAGAGTTTTAAAGGAATGTAAAGAGGAACTTAGCATACCTTTGGCTAATCTTTTCAATATATCACTACAAACTGGCATAGTGCCTGATAAATGGAAAATGGGAAATGTAATACCTAATTACAAGGCAGGTGACAGTTTCTTAGCTTCGAACTATAGACCAATAAGCCTTACTTCCATAGTTGGTAAATTTATGGAATCAATAATTGCCGAAGCAATTCGGTTTCACAAAGGGGCGTTCCTTTCTTACGAATTTACTTTCTTCACTAAGATATTTGAGAAGGTAGATCAGGGACTATTTAGGAAACTTAAGGCACACGGAATAGGAGGAGGAATTTTTTCCTGGGTAGAGGCATGGTTGACTAATAGGCAGCAGAGAGTTTGCATAAATTTGGAGAAATCAGAATGGGGGCATGTCACAAGCAGTGTTCCACAGGGGTCAGTGGTGGGCCCCTTATTGTTTACAGTCTACGTAAACGACATAGATGAGGGAATAAATAGCGACATAAGTAAATTTGCTGATGACACCAAAATAGGCCGAACAATTCATTCTAATGAGGACATTACAGCACTCCAGGATGATTTGAATACACTGATGCAGTGGTCGGAGAAATAGCAGATGCTGTTTAATATAGACAAATGCAAAATTCTGAATGTTGGACAGGCAAATAACCATGCCACATATAAACTAAATAATGTAGATCTTAATATTATGGATTGCGAAAAGGATTTAGGAGTTCTGGTTAGCAGTAATCTGAAACCAAGACAACAGTGCATAAGTGTTCGCAATAAAGCTAACAGAATCCTTGGCTTTATAGCAAGAACTATAAATAATAGAAGTTGTCAGGTTGTTCTTCAACTCTACATATCTTTGGTTAGGCCTAATTTAGATTTTGCTGCATAGTTCTGGTCACCGTTTTACAGAATGGATATAAATGCACTGGAAAACGTACAAAGGAGGATGACAAAGTTGTTCCCCTGCATCAGAAATCTTCCCTATGAAGATAGACTGTGGGCCCTGACTCTGCACTCTCTAGAAAGGCGTAGAATTAGGGGAGATGTGATTGAGGTGTATAAATGGAAAACAGGAATTAATAAAAGGGATGTGATTAGCGTGCTAAAAATCTCTAACATAGACAGGACTCACAGCAATGGTTTTAAACTGGAAAAAATCAGATTTAGGAAGGATATAGGAAAATACTGGTTTGGTAATAGTTGTGGATGAGTGCAACAAACTCCCGAGTACTGTGATAGAAGCTAAGACGTTATGTAGTTTTAAAAATATGTTGGACAAATACATGAGTGGGTGTGGGTGGGTGTGAGTTGGACCTAAGTGACGTGTCTGACCTCACTTAGTGAGGTCAGGTCAGACAGTCAGTGAGCTTGAAGGTCCTTAGGCCACAGAGCTTATGAAAGTTTAGACACAAGTGCAAGATCTGGATATCTTTATTGTAGACGTTTCGCCATCCAGTGGCTTTATCAATACAGATTCTAGGACATAATTAGAAGACAGTAGAACTATATACTGGATGGCTAAACGTCTACATTAAAGATATCCAGATGTTGCACTTGTGACTAAACTTTCATAGTGTGGGTATTTTATACCTTTCTTGCACACACAGAGCTTATGCCGGTAGGGAAACTGGATCTGCCTCGCATAGGCCAGTAGGCCTGTTGAAGTGTTCCTTCTTTCTTATATATACATAATATATATATATATATATATATATATATATATATATATATATATATATATATATATAAATATATATATATATATATTTTATATATATATATATATATATATATATATATATATATATATATATATATATATATATATATATATATATATATATATATATATATATATATATATGTCGTGCCGAATATGTAAAACTGGTCAGTTAGCAAGAACTCATTTAAAATTAAGTCGTCTCTAAAATTTTCTCTTATACGTTTAAAGATATATTTTTTCCATTAATGTTGATGTAAAAATTTATAATTTTGCACCAAAAGGAACTTAGAAAACTTACCTAACCTTATTATAACAAGCTCAATTTATTTTAGCCTAACCCAACTATATATATTTTAGATTTGTTTACAATATTTTAATACTAAACAAACAAAGTGAAATATATTTTTTTCTTTAGGTTCAGAATGATTTTGGCGAAATTATTGCATACACAAATTTTCACTTGTCCTGTATGGCAAGATGAGCGTTGCTATTTAAGCCAAGATAGCAAGTTCTGCCTATTCGGCACGACATATATATATATATATATATATTATATATATATTATATATATATATATATATATATATATATATATATATATATATATATATATATATATATATATATATTTTTTTTTTTTTTTTTCAACAAGTTGGTCGTCTCCCACCGAGGCAGGGTGACCCAAAAAAAGAAAGAAAATCCCCAAAAAGAAAATACTTCATCATCATTCAACACTTTCACCACACTCACACATTATCACTGCTTTTGCAGAGGTGCTCAGAATACAACAGTTTAGAAGCATATACGTATAAGATACACATCATATCCCTCCAAACTGCCAATATCCC